AGCCCAGGGGCCCCACACAAATGCATAATGTGAATGGTGATAAACTCCACCAGATAGGCAGTTGTCGGGGGGGTGTTTGTACCCCCCCACTGGTACTGCAGATGTCAGGTGGGCTGAAGGTGAATGATGGATGGAGGTAGGTGGAGGGCAGCAGAGTGAGGGGGAGCCGTGGATGGAAGCCACCATGCGGGGCCCCCAAGCCCGAGCTGTGCGACGCGGAATGATGCTGCCTGCTAACCAAGAGCCGAATGGCGGTCTGGAGCTTGAGGAGGCAGTGGTGGAGGGCGTAAGGGAAGACCTTGGGGAAAAGACCCCCCCCCAGGAAATGGGCACTCAGATGGGGTTTGTATTTCAACCACAGAACACCTCTGTTTGCTCTGCCGTCGCCAGCAGCACAGGAGTGGGGGGTGGATGGGGGCATTTTTTTTGAGGTGTTGGGTGTATAAGACGTGTCACCTTTCAGTGACCACAGGGAAACGCTCCACGGCCTCCGAGAGCCGGAAAATCAGGAATGCGGTCCGCGAACGGGCCCCCTTCAGAATGATTACGGAACACGAAATGGGAGAACCGAGGGAGAACCGAGAAGTGAAAGGCCTTTTTGGGGCCCCTGGAATTAACCACCGCCAGCGTTCTCTTTGTAACCGAGGGACAGCGGAGAAGTGAAAGGCCTTTCTGGGGCCCCTGGAATTAACCACCGCCAGCGTTCTCTTTGTAACCGAGGGACAGCGGAGAAGTGAAAGGCCTTTCTGGGGGCCCCTAGAATTAACCACCGCCGGCGTTCTCTTTGTAACCGAGCAAGAACCGAGAAGTGAAAGGCCTTTCTGGGGCCCCTGGAATAAACCACCGCCAGCGTTGTCTTTGTAACCGAGGGAGAACCGAGAAGTGAAAGGCCTTTTTGGGGCCCCTGGAATTAACCACCGCCAGCGTTCTCTTTGTAACCGAGGGAGAACTGGAGAAGTGAAAGGCCTTTTTGGGGCCCCTGGAATTAACCACCGCCAGCGTTCTCTTTGTAACCGAGGGAGAACTGGAGAAGTAAAAGGCCTTTTTGGGGCCCCTGGAATTAACCACCGCCAGCGTTCTCTTTGTAACCGAGGGAGAACCGGAGAAGTGAAAGGCCTTTCTGGGGACCCTGGGGGGACCGCCAGCGTTCTCTTTGTCCACATTAGTGCTTTCTAGATAGTTAAGGTTTTTTGTTATATCCATTTTACAGTTTTATTTCAGTACAACAGCAATCTTATAAAATATACTTCAACATCTCCGTTTCAGCTTCTCCTCCTTTCTGAGACAGATTTTGGCACCTGTGTACATGAGTGTATTTTGCTCTTAAGTAGAGGGTCATGTTCATGTCACATGACCAGGGGTGCCCCCCCCCCCCCCCCCCCATCTGGGTTCACTGCAGGATGCTAATCCCACATGCTGGCAGAAGCCTCTGCTAGAAAGTTCCCCTGTTTATGAGGGACACCACGCGCATACAACATGGGCAGACAGCTCACGTTCAGGGTCTCTCTGCGTGCCTCCCTCTCCCCCCGACACGTCTGGCTCCCACCCCCAGCTCCCCACCATGCTGAAATAGCAACTTTCATGTCATGATTTTAATTAATTTTGACTTGAGTCAGGCAAATTACTAACCAGGCCCTTTATGCCATTTCTTCTATTACTCAGAAAGTGAGATATAATCTCTTTCAGGGCATAAGACTGCAACTTGCTAATTATTCCTAAATCATTTCTAAAAGCTAATAGTGATTCGTCTGTGGCAAAACACAATCCCTGGAGGCAAACAAGCGCGGTGTGTGCAAAATTCACAACCGTGTTCCTCCCCGTGCACCGTCTCATTATCCTTCATCGCAAAACGGACACTGGATGTTTTTTGTCATCTGTTTTCTCTTTTTATGACCTCGTCACTTGACAGGTTTGAAGGGTCACAGCCAAGTGGCAGGTGTGCAAGGAAATCGGCAGCCAGTGGGGTGCAGACAGCAGACCCAGCGCGGGTAATCGGGCCATGATGTCTCTGGAACCCGTCTAAAACAAACACGGAGATAAAGAAGGATGAAAGAGGGCTATCAGCTGTGCCCCCACGCAGTTTAAGCGTGAAGGAGAGAGAGCTCAGCAGTGCAGAAACTGTCTGCAACATAAATTCAGTTTTAATAAAATACTAGAAGTTTACCTCAGGCAGATACTGAACAGCTGCAAATGATTTATCACACAGCTAATTAAATTCCTGCAAGTTACTTGCATTCTCACCATATTAAAAGCCTCATGTGTTTGCAGTGCTGCTACAGTGCGTGGGGGTGTCTTGCATGCGGCCAGGTACATACCGCATCATACATGTAACATGTAACATGCATGGGGCTGACAACTTGGGGCTGATTGTCCTTTCAGCCACATGGTCCTGACACATGCTGGTTAAAAGCCCTCGTTCATTCTGTGCTACATCTAAATGTTAAACCCGTAATCTTAAAAAATCTAAGCTAAGGTCATTTTACTTAGAGGCAGAGGAAGACACGTCCCCATCAAAGTCAAGCGCATGGATTTTAACAACTTCCTGCTAATGAGTGACTAATTATTTTGAGCAAATTTCTTTTGTGCCAGTAAATAAACAGAAAGAAGATCTGCTGTGATGAATGAATGATTCATTCAAAGAATTAAAGCAAAAAGTTTACAAAAGAGAATCACTGACAATGGCAGAGCTTTGAGTTTGATACAGGATGGAGCTCAACCTTATAATTTAAATATAAAAGTTGGGAGTGGGGAGGATCTATGAAGCCAAATTAAATATTGGGGGTACATGACCCCCTGCCAGCCTGGTTCCTATACCCCTGGCTACTGCTAAACATTATATTTGTCCTTTTTACTGTGCTGTATGTTATTCACATGCAAAACATGCGTCAGACTGTAGCACAGTTCACCATGACTGGTTTCCGGATCATTCTCCAATCTCTGCGTTTCCCCCTGGCAGACAGCAGTAATTAATGCTGCAGAGTCACAGCGCCCAGCAGCACTGGGTTTATTTGAAGAAGTTCTCAGCTGAGAGCTGGATGGAGCACTGTGCCTGTGCTCCCTGTCTTGATGGAGCACCGTGCCTGTGCTCCCTGCCTGGGCGGAGCATTGTGCCTGTGCACCCTGCCTGGGCGGAGCACCGTGCCTGTGCTCCCCGCCTGGGTAGAGCACCGTGCCTGTGCGCCCCGCCTGGGTAGAGCAGAGTACCTGTGCTCCCTGTCTGGATGGACCACCATGCCTGTGCGCCCCGCCTGGGCAGAACACCGTGCCTGTGCGCCCCGCCTGGATGGAGCACCGTGCCTGTGCTCCCTGTCTGGATGGAGCACCGTGCCTGTGCTCCCTGTCTTGATGGAGCACCGTGCCTGTGCGCCCTGCCTGGGTAGAGCAGAGTGCCTGTGCTCCCTGTCTGGATGGAGCACCGTGCCTGTGCGCCCCGCCTGGGCAGAACACCGTGCCTGTGCGCCCCGCCTGGGCAGAACACCGTGCCTGTGCGCCCCGCCTGGGCAGAACACCGTGCCTGTGTGCCCCGCCTGGGTGGAACACCATGCCTGTGCGCCCCGCCTGAATGGAGCACCGTGCCTGTGCTCCCTGTCTGGATGGAGCACCGTGCCTGTGCTCCCTGTCTTGATAGAGCACCATGCCTGTGCACCCTGCCTGGGTAGAGCAGAGTGCCTGTGTGCCCTGCCTGGGTAGGGCAGAGTGCCTGTGTGCCCTGCCTGGGTAGAGCAGAGTGCCTGTGTGCCCTGCTTGGGTAGGGCAGAGTGCCTGTGTGCCCTGCTTGGGTAGAGCAGAGTGCCTGTGCTCCCCGCCTGGGTAGAGCAGAGTGCCTGTGCGCCCTGCCTGGATGGAAAAGCATGCAGTGAAGTCTCACTGATCTGAACAACTTCATCTCTGGATGCTAAAGATGGTGCTTAATGTTGGGTGACCACAGTGTCCTGATTATGCCTGGAAATTTGGGTGGCGGTCAACCTTCCATTCCAGCATGCCAATGTGACACCTTTCCTGCATTTATTTTAGTCACTTTGAACCGTCATTGTCTTACTTGGCCTGGGATGTGCTACCTCAGACAAAGTATATATTAAATTAAATGCAGGACTCCATTAAACAGCAAACCTCTTTTAAGTTTTAAGTTTTCTATTGATCAATGCTCCCCCAGGTGTACTGAGCTTATGGAGACCCAGTGCCAATAGCCGGGTAGCATGACAAGCATTTCTCCTCTACCAGCCCAAACATCTGCTCTCCTCTGTAGTATACAGTCAGCTCCTCTTCATCTCTGTGACGAGTCGTTCATTAACATGTTTTGAGGGAACTTCATGCCATTTTAACTGAGCTCTTCCACTATTCACTTTGATTCTCCAGCCATTCGATCAAATGGATCAACCAATGATCAGATAGTGTAGTTAATGATCCTTTTTTTGGAGGGGGGGAGGATTATTGTCAGTCAAATAAAAGATCGCACCCATTTAGAGCGACATCAGTCTCGTTCGCTGTATATTTTAGCTGTCACTCCCTTTAAAGACTGTCAGACCACTTCACAGGCTTATCTACCTCCTGAAATCAGTTAATCCCCGCGCTGGGTATTAGATCTGCGTTGGTGATTTTACATATGCTGCCGATTTAATATGCAAAGACTGAAAAGTGCAGCGAAAATATGGATCCAGCCAAGTTTCTCAGAGAAATCAGCACATACGGTATAAACAGGGAAGTAGCGGAGATGATTGCGTTAGAGAAACGCTGTCCCTGGAAATAAAATCCGTCCCTAGAAATAAAATCCGTCCCTGGAAATACAAGCGGAGCTTCTCGTCATCTCACCTTTGATATGATAACCAGCAGTGGTGCAAAATAGCGACTGTACTGTAATGCTCAAAACCCCAAGATAAGTGCAGGAAATGCGCATGCAAAACCCCCAGTTCGATTTGAAATGGACCTAAAGCGATGACACGGATTATATGATCCAGCCTATTTCAGCCAGACATCTGAGAACAAACATCGCAAGAGCTCACCTTCTGCCAAAAGGCGCATCGCGTGCACGAAGGATGGATCCAGACTGTCTTTCTCGGCCATCAGCTCTGGCAAGTATTTGTCTTGATCCATTATAGGATGTAATAAATATGTTTATTCTTTTTCCAGCGCTCCTGCAGGTGAGACGGATTTTTTAAAAAGCGCCGAGTCTGTAAAAATGAAGCACCGTCCCCGCTTCGAGACTGTCTGCTCAAGGCTTATGGGTGCCGGATGCTGCTGGATAGAGGTGTAAGCACTCAGAGCTAGAAACCCGTCTCTTCGCTGAAAGGCGACCCTCTTCTGTAGGAGCGCCTACCTTACCTACCGAAGCGTCTGGCGACCCCGCCCCCTCGAATGCCATTGGTCCGCCACATCCGCGGACTCCAATGATAATGAGATGTTAATGAGGTGTCGGTCGTTGGTCGTGGTGCTGATCGTCGCTCACACGTGGGGACCGCGTTAGTGAAGCAGAATCAGAATCAGGCCTTCCCTCATAATATGCTGTATGTTTACAATAAAATGAATGAAACTTTGTTTGGTATCAGGGTGAATGCGGAAAGGCAGGTAAAACTCTTAATTTGGAATAAGGGTACATGCATAGGGGCAAGTGAGACTTAATTTGGTATCAGTGTGAATACAGAGGGATAGGTGAAGTTCTTAATATGGAATTGGGGTACATGCAGAGGGGTGGCTGAGACTCTTAACTTGGTATCAGGGTGAATGCAAAGGGGTAGGTAAGACTCTTAATTTGGTATCAGAGTGAATGCAGAGGGAAAGGTGAAGCTCTTAATATGGAATTAGGGTACATGCAGACGGGTGGCTGAGACTCTTAATTTGGTATCAGGGTTAATGCAGAGGGGCAGGTGCGGCTCTTAATTTGGCATCAGGGTGAATGTAGAGGGACGTGTGAGACTCTTAATTTGGCATCAGGGTGAATGCAGAGGGACGGGTGAGACTCTTAATTTGGTATCAGTGTGAATACCAATCAATGGATCTGTAGGCACTTTCGACTTGCCAAGACAGATTAGACAGGGGCGACATCGAATTGAAAGGGATTGTTGAACTCAGGCAGTTTGCATCTAATTAATGACTGCATGCGCTGTAGAGCCTTTGGCAGCAATGCATCTGATGGGTGCCGGAATGCGTGTGGGTAAACATGCACATGGTTGTGTTTCACAGTTCGTTATTAATTATAATTTAATTAAGGTTACAATCTTATGATTCTAGTATTAATTAAATGCCCGGTGGGAGTCCTCTCATGTCATAGATATTGAAGCATCATCCCTAATAGTTGCTTGTCCCTTGTCATTAAGTTCATCACTGAATGCTCCTTAATGTCCAGACGAGTGATATTCAGCATCATTTACACAGGCGAGCACATAAGCTACCTGTGACTGCTGATATCCCGCAAAGTCCCTTTGCTGGGTGTCGTTGTGGCATCTCTGTTTTAAAGTACTGTCACGGAGTGCTATACCACTTCATTTGCAACAACATAATAAGTGAAAATCATTATTCTTCTCTTGACTAAATTTTCAGACAAAGCCCCGTCCTGAATACTCTGTTCAGGGTGTGTATCTGCGCTCCCCGTGGAGAAATCCCTGATAGATGACAAATCATCTCCTTTACCCAGAATGTTGTCACAGGCACAAGCTTTCTGCTGTACACCCAGAATTTAAGGTTTTCATTTCTCGTTTTGAAATAGAATTGTGTTCCTTAGTGTGATTAGTGCTTGGCCTTGAGTTAAGGAAATCTTTTTTTATGTTTTTGGGATATCTGTGACCCTTTATTGAAATACCCATTCTTAAGAAACCAAAAAGTTAAATGATCCATGATGTGAGAGTGTAATTAAGCTGACTGTGTAGTAATATAATACTTAGTCTAGTGCAAAAATAGCCTGGCTGACAGCCACGTTGGTCATGAAGGGTCTGCCGTGATCTCACAGTTATGCTACACTCATCACCCCACATTAGATAACTAGCAAGACAATCAACCCGTTTCACGGATTTAGCACCATGAAATGACATATATCCCTATATAGAGAATAAATAAGGTGAGTTTGAAACCCAGGACCCTATCGATCCGGAAACCAGAACTGGTTAGAGTAGAACTGTGGGAAAATATTCTAGTGGTCAATGTTCATATAATATATGAGCTTTTTTATCTTTTCATTGATCTCAGAGGTGCAGTGAACCAAGCCAGCGCTGCCTGGACTCCTATCAGGAGCAATAATAAAGCATCAATGCCTGACCTCTGCTCTCACACTGCCAATCACCAAGCAAAGCAATCAATGCAACGATAATGCTTCTTTTCAGATAGAAAGTCTGAGATTTTGTGACGTGAAGCATTTTCCTCGTAATGTGAAAAATAAGTTTGCTCATTTTTTAAGAAAAATAGTAGAATAGGTTAAAAAACAACCTTAAACACACCAGACAGGTAGAAAGTGAATGATTTTGTTGTTGTCGGTGGGCTAATAAACACTCTGATCCTCTAGCCAGACACTGGGAACACTGGGAGTGTTAAGCGGCGCTCTCATTTAGCCAAAAATGATATCTAAGGCTGCATTAAGATTCTGCTGAGGCTCACGGCACTGATGCAGTGCGGACTGCAGTGCTAATATACCAGTTTCACTATAATTCCTTCACACTTGACATATTCACATCCATAACCATTAAAACTTATAGAAAAGACAGAAATATATCAATTTCACAACAATTTCATAAATGTTCTTAATTAAAATCTACTGCTCTTACTTTATTTACAGACATGACAACTGAGTGATTGGCTTTAAATAGGCTTGTCTCCCCTGGCAGGCTCCGGACCCCCGCGACCCAGTAGGATAAGCAGGTCTGGACAATGGATGGATGGATGGATGGATGGATGTCTCCCCTGGCCTCCAATCCTGAGGACGGAACACGTCATCCTCAGTTTCAAGCGTGTGACACTCGTCTCTACTGAAGTATTTTGTACTAACTGTCGTTCTCACTGAAATATCTGGCTGAATGCGTTCCCTTCTGCACTGAAAAGGCTTGTAGTTATAGTGTAAAAGCCTTTTCCACTTCATATAAATGACAGCGCCTTGTACCTTAGTTCTAATGTAATGTGTATTCATTCTGTTATTATTGCTGATATTCCTTGTTTAGCAAACTAAACAAACAATGACTTCTTTCTTGTCACCTGTTTTGTAATAATGTCCTTTGCTGTCATTTACTCATCATTTCACTGTGTGTTCTGACACCCCAGATGCGCAGTGTGTGTTGCTTGTTTGCGCAGATGATCCCCCCCCCAACTGTACACAGAGAAAGACTCAGAGGTTCTGGACGGTGGGATGAATAGAGCCCCCGAATTGGAACATTTCCATTGCGTGTTATCGGGTCATGAATGGATTGTGCTCTCAGTGAGAGACATTCATGGTGGGTTCATGAACATTCAAACTCATTTTTTGCCTGATGGCATGTTTTTTCCCCTTTGAGTGTGTTTAGAATCTGAGAAGGAAAATATTCAATTTTCAGGACAATGCAGACAAGAAGAGGTCTGTGCAGAGTGAATGTAGCCTTTGATTAAACTGTATTAATGTGCATGTCTGCTGAAAGGTCAAAGGCATTTTTATATTTCAACAATATGTAAAGGAATCACCATAAGGTGCTTGAACATTTGATTTGATTCACATGAACAGTCGAAATGCTTGGATGGATTCATGCAGCTCTCTAGTGGTCAAATAAAAAACTGCATATTCACTGGAGGGGCGTGGGCTGGGGGTTACTGCAGCGAAACAAGCCTGTGCTCTGCTTAATGGCATCGCATCATGTCACTTAAGCCCGGGGGGGGGGGGGGGGCAGGCTGTAATAAAGGCGTTTATGGGGTCAGACCCTTAAATGGCTGCACTGTCTGTTTGCCCAGTGGCCCCATGTTTTGCTGTAACCCTCTGGTCGACTAAGGTTACTATAGTTCATTAAGAAATGCTTATGTGCTTGTCCTGGCTTGCTGGCTAATTTATATATAGCCCCAAAAAAGGACTTTGTGAATCAGTGGTATTAAAACAATACATGCCGACCTCCTGTTATATTAATGAAACCAAATGACATCCAGTGGCGTGACCATTATAATGAAACCAAATGACATCCACTGGCGTCACCATTAGTTTGAGTAGCTTGTTTTAATGATTCATGCATTTTCATGTTGTTCTAATACATTTAATTTATTTTGGATTTTGTGTCTATTAGTATTCAATGATAAATATTTACTACCGGTTTTTTCCAGAAGAGTTATACTGGTTAAAAACTACATACAGTTGTATGTGTCCATCCATCCATCCATCCATCCATCCATCCATCCAGGGCTGAGAGGAGATGTTGGTTTTTATACCTTTTCACTTAATGAAAGGGCATCTTGTCCCATGTGAAGTCATTTTGCTCCCCAGTTATACAGATGGAGGTTTTACTGAATCAGTCCAGAATCAGCACATCTCCAAGGGTCTGACAGCCGACGCCCCCCCCCCCCGGATCGTGAACCCTGCTGCCCTTTAGCTAGCCTGTTCACTCTTTCTGTTCCTGCAGACGGATGAGAAACGCAAAGCGTGTGTAGTGTGTAGTACAGGCGCTGCTGCTGCATAAACGGGAGAACAGGCACCTCTAACCCTTTCCAGAGGAAAACGTCCCGCGTGTTTAATTTATGAAACTGTGCACCGTAACTAGGCCACTCTGCTAAACGGTCGCGCAGCAAAATGAGCAACATCCCCGCCGCACGCCGCTTACGATGATGCATGGCGTCGGAAAAGCCGGCATGTGGTAAATGTGCCGCAGTCCGGCCCCACGGCCCAAAGAAAGACCGGGAGCTGCTCCCAGCAAATGGACTTTGTGCCTCAGAACATGTTTCCTAACAAGATTCATGATTACAGACGGAGCTGCGTGATGCTGTGCTCAGGCGGGGTTGGGGGGGATTGTGAGCCTCACTAAATGAATTTGTCATCTTTGGTAATTTCCCCGCATGGGAACGGGGGAAGGGGCTCTGGCATGGAAAGTTTTCTTTTTTCTGTGTCCATATTGCACTCCTCCCCCCCCCCCNAGCCGATCATATGGCCTGATCACAGTCTTGCACCCCCTGCGATTGTACCAAACAAAGCGGTGATGGATTTGTTATTTCAGCCGAGAGCAGGAGTGTGGAAATGCAATCACCCTCGCCCCCCCCATGTGAATTATTAACCAGGGCCTGTTCAGTGCAGGAAAGGGGATATTAAGACATAGTTAATTTGGGAGCAAACAGTTCCCCTAGCTTCACCTCAGCATTAAAAACCCCAAAATCCTTCTTAACC